GACTCTACACAAAAGTTAAAGTAAATATGAATTTAATATAATGAATAAAAAAAATCATAAAATAGGTAAGTTAAGCAATAGTTTAATATTAAACAATTTACTTAAACCTACTCATCAAAAACTGGTTTTTTAGCTGTGATACATTTGTCTTGATCATTCCACTCAAATCTACTTATATTTTTCATATTACAAATAGTGTGATATTGTTTTTAGAATAGTTTAACTATTGACTCAATATAGAAAGTGGCTTTAATTTGGGAATTAGGAATGAGTTACTCCAGCATCCTTTCAAGATACTCTAGATATCCAACATGGCATGTTCCATTATTTGTTCTCCATCTAAGATCATCTATCAAAGTATATAGGCATTGAATAAGATATGAATCCTTCTTCCTTATCCATGAATGGTTAATTACCCTTGAACTTTTTGTTCTTATTTTGGATGTCCTTTTACAGCTTGAGAAAAATTGGTACAAGATGAAAACATGTTAATTTCATAATCACATAGCTAAATATCATGCAACAATATCAATATAATAAATCAAAAATCAAATAAGAGTAAAATATCTGTAATAGGACATGAAGTAAACCAATAAACATGAAAAGAAAACAAAGACTATTGAAAATAATTATCAAATATATTGGACACTTAACAAGAAAAAAATTAGATAAATATATATTCAACAAAGGTAGAAACCAAATTGTACACACTTAACCATATGGTTTAAAAATCAATTAAAATGAGCAAACATTATAAGAAATAACAAAAAATCTAGAATGTCTTTATCTTGGGATTACAACCAATTCGTGAACATCTTCCGTGTCAGTTTGTCTATAAACTAAGTCCAAGAATTAGTTGGCTTAACATGCATAATCAAATTTTAATGTTCAGATCTATTTAGTTGGCTACTACTTCTTTCAGCAATATGACCTTCAATAAAGTCAACTACCATCTCAAAACTAATAAAATTATAGAAAAGATAGCAAGCAAAAATGATTTTATACTGTACCTTTATTGAATAAAATGACTTTTCATTTAAAATTGTCCATTTAGCTTTTAATATACTAAAATATCTCTCGATACAATTTTTTACTTGAGAGTTTTTCATATTAAAATATTCTCATGAGCTCATCGATTGGAGTCTTGTTGCCAAAGAATTTTTTTATTTGTGTATCTAGCATCACACAAATAGTAAGTATCTATTAAAATGGAACTATATTAATACACGAAAAATGTGTTCCATTATAAACTAAACCAAAATATTAAAGTTAATATCTTGTGAGATTCTTAATCCATTCATGCATGTAATGGTATTCTTTAGCACTCTACCATCTATTGCAAAACCTTTCCATCCTGGTAGAACATATATGAATTGCATATATATGGTGCAAACACCAAAGACATTAGTAGCAATTTAATTTTTCCTAGTTCTGTATTCAGGCCTGTCAACTACGTTTATATTGACCTTGATGTATGTTTTATCTAAGGCACCTAAACAACCTTTGAACCATTTTTATCTATTATTTATTGAATTCTCCACTATTAGTTTGGGTTTTTTTAAACTATAAGGTATGCAGTCTTAAAACAGAATTTAACATAGAATGAAATTGCCTATTAATTATCTCTTCAAATCTAGTTACTTGACACTTCATAACCTTATTTTTTGTGTGATAGGCAATGATGTGGAGGAAGCTAATAACCAATTCTTTTATTGACATATATCTAGATGCCTACGATCCTCCTTATGTTTGAAGCAGATGACATAATTTTGTAAAAGCTCTCATATCTATTCTAGTATTATTTATATACTGTCTATCATTTAAAAGCCATTGCATTTAAGTTTAACTCTCTAATATGTAGCCTATCATAAGAGATTTTACCATAATACATAAAAAAAAGGTAATAGTAATTACCTATTATAGTGAAACAACATTAATACATAAAACATGTGTTCTATTATAAACTTAATCAAAATATTAAAACTAATACCTTATGGGATCCTCAATTTGTTCCCACGTGTAATGGTATACCTTAACACTTTACCATCTGCTGCAAAACTTTTCCATCTTAATAAAACATATATAAATTGCATATATGGAGTGCAAACACCAAGGACATTGGTAGTAATTTCATTATTTCTTGTCCTGTATCTAGGCTTATCAATTGCATCTATATTGACATTGATGTATGTCCCATCTAAGGCACCCAAACAACATTTGAACCATTTTTATCTATTATCTGTTGAATTTTTCACTATCAGTTTAAGTTTTTTAAACAATAGGATATGCAGTCTTAAAACAGAATTTAACACAGAATGAAATTGTCTACTAATTATCTTTCTAGATCTAGCTACTTGATGTTTCATAATCTTATTTTTTGTATGATGGACAATGATGTGAAAGAAGCTAATAACTAGTTCTTCTATTAACATATGTTTAGATGCTTGTAATCTCCCTTCTGTTTGAAGTAAATGACATAATTTTACAAAAGTTTTTCTATCCATTCTAGTATTATTTGTACACTGTCTATTGCTTTAAAAAATGATTACATTTAAGTTTAACTTTCTAATATGTAGTCTATCATAAGAGGTTCTACCATAATACATAAAAGAAAGGTAATAAAAATTACCTATTATAGAGAAACAACATTAATACATAAAAAATGTGTTTATTATATACTAAACAAAAATATTAAAGCTAATACCTTGTGATATCTTTAACCCATTCCTATGTGTAATGGCATCCCTTAGCACTTTACCATCTATTGCAGAACCTTTCTATCCTGATAGAACATATATGAATTGTATATCTAGGGTGCAAAGACCAAAGATATTGGTACCAATTTCATTTTTTCTAGTCCTGTATCTAAACCCGTCAACTGCATCTACATTGACCTTAATGTATATCCTATCTAAGGCACCTAAATAACCTTTAAACCATTTTTATCTATTATCTATTGAATTCTTTGCCATCGATTCACGTTTTTTAAACAACAGGGTGTGTAGTCTCAAAATAGAGTTCAACATAAAATGAAATTGCTTACTAATTATCTCTTCAGATCTATCTACTTCACACTTCATAACCCTATTTTTTGTATGATGGACAATAACGTGGAGGAAGTTAATAACCAGTTCTTCTGTTAACATATATCTAAATTCCTGTAATCTCCCTTCTATTTGAAGCAAATGATATAATTTTACAAAAATTGTAGCATCCATTCTAGTATTATCTATAAATTGTCTATTATTCTAAAAAATCATTACATTTAAGTTTAACTCTTTAATATGTAGCCTCTCATAAAAGGTTCCACCATAAGGTACTCTATGTTGTTTTCCAAGTTTCATTGTATTTAAAGTTATAGCAACAATAACTAACACATACAACAAAGTCTCCATCTGATTCAAATGCAACATAAGCATTGTAACTAATTGTATTTTTTTTTCTTAGTGATAAATGAGCTATAATTGTTTAGATGACAGATTCTCATTAATATTGAAAACATAATTGTAAAACAAATATTTACATATGGTAGGTGGAATCTATCACACATCCAAAAACAAAATATAAACCAACAATAAAACATTTGTGGATAAATGAGCTAAAACCAAAATGAATGACACATTTGATATATCAACATATTTTCAATCAAGATCAAAACGAGATCTAAAAAAAAAAAAAAAAAAACATTTGAATGTAACAAATAATGTAAAACATATAATTAGATAACATAGAGTAGACGCACCATTTATTAAAAAAAAAGTAGATAGACTTAATAGCACAAAGATTTAATGACGGATGTTGAAGTTAAGGTTGGTTGAAACAAAAAAGTATTTGCTTAGAGTTATGTTATGTTGAAACAAAAATTTGAAAAAGGTCTTTGTTATTAAAATATGATGAAGACATAAATTACGACATTTCATATGTAGAAACGTCGTAATTGATACCTTAAAAAGATGTTTTTGAATTTGATTAGATATGACAATGTTCATAATAGTATAAACATCGTTTTCGAGAGAAAAAAATTTTAAATTAATCAATTACAACTTTTTAATAAAAAAACGCAATAATTGATTATTAATTATGGTGTTTCTACAAAAAAATGTCATAATAGCCCTAAATCAAATGCCACACTAAGTTGACAATTACTGCATATGTTTTAAAAAAACACAGTAATACATATAGTGAATAAAAAAATCGAACAATTATTGTGTATTGTTCATTATAAATGTCGTAATTGACTTAAAAAAATTTTAATTTTATTGTCAAACTTACTTTTCAAAAGTGTAACATAGACATATCAAATTTTTTATTCAGGTCAAATGTAGAATTCAAGCAACTTTTCGTTCAAAATCTTAAAATATTACAGGAAATGTGAGTTTTTGATTTCGAGATCTTGGGTACCATTGAGAATTTGACATTTTTCTCAAAAATCAAATAATTCTAAACCAAACATGAGAATTAAATACCATAACTAAAATTCTAAAAAAAAATTTTTAGATTCCCCCAAATGCCCCCTAAAAGTCTTCCTTTTTACTCTTCTTATTTGTAATTAGTTTGAGTTGGAATCGCGGTTTGGAGCTTATTGGCAAGAAGAGAGCTGCGTCTCTTTGACCCGATGAAATGAAAAAGATTTCAATGGTTGCGCGAATTAATAATCAATTGCAAATTGAAGCATTTATCGCTGGATGATAGGCTTAAGATTTGAAAAATAATCGATTCCAACCTTGCACTGGGGTCATTGTAGATTAAAAAATATACTGATGAAAAATTAAAATGCAACTGCCAATTATGTAAAAAAAATGTGCTGATCACAATCTTGATTGAAGAGCATTTATACACGGTAATATTTTTTTAAAATGAATTAAATAAATAGAAATTAACTATTAAAAGTAGATTAGATTAAAATTTTCAAAAAAAAAAATTCCTACATTTTTTCTTATAAATATGCAAGCAACAACATTGCTAGTTGATCACAAAACATAAGCTTTTAATTAGCTACCATGCAAACCACAAAACCCCATGTAGTTCTCTTGGCAAGCCCTGGTTTGGGCCCCCTGATCCCTGTCCTCGAGCTTGGCAAACGCCTGGTCACCCACCATAGCTTCCGTATAACAATCTTTGTTTTGGCATCTGAAGCATCAACTGCACAAACCCAACTTCTTGAATTACCCAACATGAACGTTCTTAACATTGTTTCCCTTCCATTTGTAGATACATCAGACAAAGTTGATGCAGCTGCGCATATAGTAACGAAAATAGCCGTCATGATGCGAGAGTCCTTGCCAGGCCTGCGTTCCACAATAGCTGCAATGAAGTCTCGCCCAACAGCTTTGATTGTGGACTTGCTCGGCACTGAAGCGTTACCAGTTGCCGATGAATTCAAGATGTTTAAGTACGTGTTCATTGCTTCCAATGCATGGTTTCTTGGAATCACTATTTACGCTCCAACCGTTGAAAAAATAGTGAATGAAGAGCACGTTAAGCAGCAAAAGCCTCTGAAAATTCCGGGGTGCAAACCGATTCGGTTTGAGGATACCCTGGAATCTTTTTTGAACCGCAATGATCAATTGTACGGAGAATATGCACGTGTAGGACTTGAAATACCAGAAGCTAATGGGATTTTGCTGAACACTTTTGAGGACCTCGAGCCCAAAACGCTTAGATCCTTGAGAGATGCTAAGCTGCTGGGCCGGGTTGCTAAAGTACCAGTATTTCCAATTGGTCCGGTTGTGAGACAACTTGGACATCAGGTTTTTACTGACCCTGTTTTTGATTGGCTAGACAAGCAACCCAGTCAATCAGTGATTTATGTCTCGTTTGGAAGTGGAGGTACCTTGTCAGCCAAGCAAATGACAGAAATCGCTTGGGGTTTGGAACTTGGCCAACAAAGGTTTATTTGGGTGGTTCGTCCTCCTGTTGAAGGTGATGCATCGGGGACATTTTTCACTGTTGGAAACGATTCGGATGGTACCCCGGATTACTTGCCCGAAGGGTTCCTGACTCGAATCTAAGATAGAGGACTAGTGGTCCCAATGTGGGCTCCACAAGCAGAGATTTTGGCCCATCCATCAGTTGGTGGATTTGTGTCACATTGCGGGTGGAATTCCACCATGGAAAGTTTACTCAATGGGATACCTCTCATTGCTTGGCCGCTCTACGTCGAGCAAAAAATGAATGCCGCAATGCTGACGGAAGAGCTTGGCCTGGCGCTTAGGCCAAAGGTGTTGACGTCAAGCAGAATAGTGGAGAGAAAAGAGTTGGAGATGATGATGAGAAAAATCATGGTAGACAAGGATGGGCAGGAAATAAGAGATAGAGCCAAGGAATTAAAATTTAATGCGCAAAAGGCGTTGAGCAAGGGCGGTTCTTCTTATATTTCACTTTCCCGAGTTGCCAAAGTCATTGAAATGAGCCTCAAAGCAAAGGCTCAAGGTGCTTAGTCTTTTCAACGTTCTTTTTGTTAATCTATGAATCTTTGATATCAATAAAAGACTGATTAATTGATCTATTATATTGAAAATTGGGAATGAGTTTAGCAAAAGCTAATTTCTGTCAGATGTTTCATCGGGAATCTTATCATGTTCCTACAAAATAAATACAACACTACAAACATATCTGTAGTTTATCCAATAAAAAAATTATATTATAATTAGTAGTTTATATCATTGATGGCCCGAACGCATGAAGAGTTCACATGGTCCATAGGAGATGTTTATACGTGACTGTACCAACATGTAATACGAGATAAAAGGACCGGAATATATTGAGATTTAAATTTTAAATATATTAGATATTATCTCTTAATAATAATTATATAAATCAATTAATTTAAACTCTGAATTTGTAAATATCATTATTTTATACTAAAATTTAAGTATGCAAAATAAGTAAATCTATTTACTAGTAACTCTCATGATATTTTTCTAATTTCTCTTATCTTTCTTCCTCTTTAAAAAAGTTCCTAATTCACTTAAACATTAAAAAAATATATCATAAAAAATGTTTGATGGTTCTATTTTTTTTGTTGGTATGAGAGATGCATACATGAGTAAATTGATCCATGACCAATTCGAAGTGATCATAAATTTTTTTTAATCTGCAATTTTCAATAATTTGAGTTAATATATATCATTTCAAAGATATATTATGTGTCTAAATTCTCTCGAACACACAATCTCCGATAATTTGATAAGCATACATGCCATCCTAAGTCTTAACTAATATTTAGTTGACCATAAATAGCCTCATATAACTTATGGACATGAAATATGTAAAAACTCCTTTTATGTATTAGGTATGATTATTGTTTTAATGTGGAAGAGTGAACCTTAATTAGCCATAAGTAGCCTCGCACCACCACTCTAGCTAGCCAATTGACTAGAAACCTATCCCCTTACGCCTCCGTCCCCATCTTAATTGTTTTCACTTTCTCTAATTTTTAACTGAGTTCTCACCAGCCAGCATCCATGCAAAGCAAAAAACCTCATGTAGCCCTCCTTGCAAGCCCTGGCATGGGACACTTGATCCCTGTGCTTGAGCTTGCCAAACGATTCGTTTCCCTTCAAGGCTTCAAAGTTACAGTCTTTGTTGTGCCGACCGACCATGCCTCAATGGCAAACTCCCAATTTCTGCGATCAGCACCAGGCTTGGTTGATGACCTCCTTGATATTGTTTTACTCCCTTTCATTAACGTTTCCAACATAGTTGAACCTGATGCGTCGTTGTTAACAAACATATTGATATTGATGCTAGAGTCTTTACCATTTCTCCGATCTGAAATCTCTAAGATGGAGTTTCGTCCGACTGCCCTAGTTGTTGACATGTTCGGAACTAATGCTTTGGAGATTGCCGATGAATTCAATATGTTGAAGTACATATTCATAGCTTCTAATGCATATCTTCTTGCAGTTATACTATTTAGTCCGGAGATTGACAGAAAGGACATTGATGAGCATGTTAAGAACCAAAAGCCACTCAACATTCCGGGTTGCAAGCCGGTTAAGGTGGAGGATACCCTCGATGTTTTTTTCATGGATCCCAACGATCCATTGTATCAAGGCTGTCTAGGCACAGGGATTAGAATGTCATTGACTGATGGGGTTTTGGTGAATTCTTGGGATAAGCTGGAGTCAACAACTCTTAAAGCCTTGAGAGAGGCAAAAAAGGTACCCGTTTACCCAGTTGGTCCACTGGTGAGGCCAGTTGAAAAGCCGGTTTTGGGTAACAACGTAATAGATTGGCTCGATAAGCAACCGAAAGAATCAGTGATTTATGTTTCCTTTGGGAGCGGTGGAACAGTGATAGAGATGGCCTGGGGGCTGGAGCTTAGCCAACAAAGGTTCGTTTGGGTGGTTCGTCCTCCTACTGAGAATGATGCAGCAGGGTCGTTTTTCACTGTGGGGAACCCCCGATTACTTGCCTGATGAGTTTTTTGCCAGGACTCAAGATCGAGGACTAGCGGTCCCTATGTGGGCTCCCCAAGTTGAGGTATTGAGTCATCCGTCGGTTGGTGGATTTTTAACCCATTGTGGGTGGAATTCAGCCATGGAGAGCATTCTCAATGGGGTACCGATGATTGCATGGCCGCTTTAAGCTGAGCAGAAGATGAATGCTGCGATGTTAACAGAAGATATTGGAGCAAGCATTCGAGCAAAGGCGGTGGAAGAATCAGATGGAGTTGTGGAAAGAGAAGCAATAAGATCTATGGTGAGGAGAATATTGGTGGATAATGAAGGACAAAACATGCGAACTAGGATCAAGGAGCTAAAAAATAATGCAGCAAAAGCATTGACCGAAGGTGGTTCCTCTTATAATTCTCTGCTCCAAGTAGCAGAGATCTGCATTCAGCACCTGAAAAAAAAGGCTTATGGGGCTTGATCATATTCATGCCTGTTCATATAGTATTACTAAATTTGTTCCTCGTCAATATCAATTTGGATTTGATGTAGCCATTTTTATTTTCTTAAAAAGATTGAGAGGATTGAATTCACTTGTCTTTATACTTTTTATTGACGTTGAGTTTGAATTTCGCTTGTCTGAATACTTTTCATATGTATCGAAAATATTTGTTTCTAGCCATTAGTTTAACAAATATAATGAGATTTTGACGCTTAATTTGAAGCGAATGAAGCTACTACAGCTTAATTTGTTAGAATGACTAATAATTAATTCGAACAAAAATTAAAGTTTGGAAAGAAAATTTGTGAACAAGAATGAAATCATACACTCCTATAATATTGATGTACACAGGAAAAATTAGGCAAATTTTCCATCTTGACCAAGAAGATATATAATTATGACGCCATAACTGATTAAGAATTATTATACACCCAACCAGTACACAACTTTCATTGGTCTACGTCCAAGTAAATATCTCACTTTATGGTTCTTGGAAAAGTTAATGTCCATCAACTAATGTGAATGTAGGAACTTGTTAAATGTAAGTATGACGAAGAATAAGCTCATGTCAACTTAGCTTTGTTGAATGACTAAGAATTTATATAGAAAAGTTTTAAAAAAAAAAATTTTCAATATTTAGTCGATAATCATGAAAAACGTAGACAAATTTTCCATCCGGAGCACATTGTAAAAGATAAAAGCCACCATTGAATAAAGAAAAGGTAACACGCCAAAACGTAAAACACACTTTCTATTTATTCTAAATATGGGGTAATGATGAATTAATTTAAGATTCAACTCAATTGATTTATTTTATAAAAAAATTTAAAAAATTTTAATATGCAACACTGTCACTTTAAAAAAAATGAAGATATACATTAATTTCCATCATGTCTCAAAAGTAAATTGAGTATCAATGATCCTTGGAATTTTCAAGCACGTAGTGCACGTTCATGGACTAGAAAAGTCGTTGCATTCGATTTTCATTAATGGCACTGTTTATCTCATAGGAGGGAGGCAGTATCTCATGTCCTGCCTGGTCTTACGTGTCCAAAGGGCATCATACACCGAAGCAATAATGAATTGTTTTGATTTTTCAATCCAAAAAAACAAAAAAAAAAAAAAAAAATTCACATGACTCTCAATTAGGACCAATGTGAATCTGAAAATTCGCTCCAAAAATCATGGTTATTATAATCATCTTGTTTAGCGTAACACATATACTTACATGAACCAATGATACATTTATATATTATTCTTCTGCTTCAAGAATAAATATTGGCTTCCAAGGGTTTTTTTTAAGTCTTTTGATATGTATGGAACAGACAAAAAAGATGCTGAGTTATGCATGTGCATTGCAAGTCATTGGCTGACCCTTACTCATCCTCAGAAATTATAGTCCAAAAATCCTGAGTAAATTCAAAACTTTTTCAATAGAAGCATTAAACACCGAAGTTAAATCTAGCCAATGGACTTGCAACGTGCTTTTTGCTCTACTTGACCGGCTATCTGGATTAAGGTTTCCCCCTTCTAGTCTTGGCATGATTGTCGCCTTAAATTTCCATGGTCAAGGATAATGTTACATAAATAAAAAATATACAAAATTTCAAATAATTTGAATTTATATGTAAATTTTTTAAATTATTTTTTACATATTACATATTGATGATTCTTTTCATTAAATTCTATCCATATGTCGATTTTAAATTTTCCAATTACATTTCTATTAATCGATTTAAATGGAAAACCTTATTTGTGCCAAGCAAGAAAAAACAATAATCAAGCAAGTTAATGAATTATGGAATGTAAAGCAGAGATTCACACTTTGAAATAATATGACCATCTTACTCTAGATTTGCTCTGGAAACTGATCAATGCGTTAGAAAAGAGTTTTTTCTTTTTTTTTTTTGCCAAAAAAATCTTGAGTATTTTTCAACAAAAACAGTTCACATGCCAGCTACAGTACTGAAAATCATAGAGAGACAGCATAAGCTCCTCATGACTATTGACTATCAACAAAAACACTACAAAAAAGATGGAGTAAGGAGACCGGAGACCACTTGTTAGAATTTGAACCAAAGAAGATGGAGACCTATTGACGCACCCATCCAGGGACATCTCCTTCATAGACTGACAAGCATTAGAATAGAGTTAAAGGTACAATATATTATTATTTTTTAATTTTTATCATTAAAGAAAAAATTGAATCCTTATTGTTTTGGCCTATAAATACCAAAGCAAATTCAAGAAACCATAACCAACTAACCTCAGCTATCTTAATTTTTGGTTTTTGACTTGAAAAGTTTGTAGCCATTATGCAAAGCATGAAGCCTCATGCAGTGCTCCTTGCCAGCCCTGGCATGGGACATCTCATTCCTGTCCTTGAGCTCGGCAAACGCCTTGTATCTCATCATGGCTTCAATGTCACAATATTTGTCGTCACAACGGATACTTCTGTCTCTCAATCCCAACTTCAAAATCTATCACAAACTTCAAATCTCATTGAAGTTGTTTTATTGCCACCTGTAGATATCTCAGGCCAGGTCGACCAAACCACTTCAATCTTATCGCAGATTGCAATGATGATGCGTGAGGCATTACCAAGCCTCCGGTCTGCAATATTAGCAATGAAAATTCCTCCAATTGCTCTTATCGTGGACATGTTTGGGACTGAAGCTTTTGCTATTGCTGATGAGTTCATGATGCTGAAATATGTTTTCATCACTTCAAATGCATGGTTTCTTGCCCTCACTGTCTACGCACCAACCCTTGATAAGGAAGTGGAAGATGATCTTGTTTACAACCAAAAACCACTTTTAATTCCCGGGTGCAAGCCGATTTGCTTTGTTGACTCTTTTGAGCCGATTCGGCGACCAAACAACCAAGTCTACAAGCAAGATTATTTGCGCATGGGAACCAAGATATCCACGGCTGATGGAATATTAGTGAACACATTTTATGAATTGGAATCCCAGACACTGGCTGCTTTGAATGATAAAATAAAGCTAGGGATGGTCGCTAATGCTCCCGTTTATCCAATTGGACCACTGGTGAGGCCCGTCGATTCTGGTGTGAGAAGTGAAGTGTTGACTTGGCTAGACATGCAACCCAAAGAGTCGATCATATATGTTTCTTTTGGGAGTGGTGGAACCCTCTCAGCCAAGCAATCTATCGAGCTGGCATGGGGTTTGGAAAAGAGCCAACAACGGTTTATTTGGGTAGTTCGCCCTCCAGTTGAGAATGATTCAGCAGCAACTGTTTTAAAGACAAGCAACGGCTGCCATGATTCTCCAAGCTACTTGCCTGATGGGTTCCTGAATCGCACCAGCAAAAATGGGCTGGTGGTTCCGATATGGGCACCTCAAGCTGAAATCCTAAGCCATCCGTCCATAGGTGGATTTTTGTCCCATTGCGGCTGGAACTCAAGTCTGGAGAGTATAGTCAATGGTGTTCCAATGATCGTGTGGCCACTGTTTGCAGAACAAAAGATGAATGCTACAATGCTGACTGAGCATATTGGGGTGGCTACCCGGTCGAAGTTGTTACCATCACAGGACGTGATTGAGAGAAGCGAGATAGATGCAATGGTTAGAATGATTATGGTGGATAAAGCAGGGGAAGCAATCAGAGCCAGGGTGAAAATGCTAAAATCATGTGCTGAGAAGGCTCTTAGCAAGGATGGCTCCTCTTATAGTTCTCTGGCTAAGGTGGCCAAAGACTGCGAGATCAACCTGCAGCGCCAGAATGCGAAAACTGGCGCTTGATATTTCATCATCCTAATGAATGCAACTTACAAAAAAGTTGTTTAAAAGAGGTATCTTCAATCCCTCTTTTGGAGTAATGTTTCATGTTGCATATTTTCCTAAATATACTAACGAAAATTCATGAAAATCATTACTTCTTCTAATTGAGGAGACTTATCATTTTCATTCCAAGAAGTCTCAAACATCCCCCATATAAATAGATACACAAAACATTAATCACGCCAAATTTACAGAATCAAATGTCAAATTTGATTCTAATATATAGATGAAGAAAAGCAGAGAAATACGTGAAAGGGTTCCTTGGCTTCCTGAATAGACATATCATGCACTTACAGGTTCAGTTGCCTTCTTCAGCCAATCCATCTCATCTTTTTCCATGTAAGGTGCAAGAATTTCGCAACATTTTGAATGGTAGGTATTCATCCACTCAATCTCCTTGGGCGTCAAGAGGCTCAAGTCGATCAACTTTATCTGATAGGGTGCCTGAACATAAGATACCCATTAAAATCTAAAATTCAGCTGTCTCAGAAAATATACACGTTATACAATTTAAGTGAGATCAAATAGCCAAACCCTCGTTTTCAACGTGCTATGAGGTTTACAAAGAAAGACACTTCAAAAATACTTGCGATAGAGTATAAAATGAAACATTAGTAGTAAAGACTAGAGGAGACCATAATAATTTATCAACCAAGTTAATCAAGTTAATCCAGCCTACAATCTCTATTAGAACTGTAATCTGGCAACAAATAGCAATAATATACACAATCACAGATAGATGCACACTCAACATGATTGAGAAGAGGAAGAGAAAAGATGGGTAATCTATATAACCATATATTAAAGTTACATGACAAACTTACCCATGTGATATGCTCAAATGACAAGTATCCCTTATCACCGAAATTGAATTTGGTATCACCCTCCTTGATAACAAGAACATTCTCTAATCTTATACCAAAACTCCCATCTTCATAATATCCAGGTTCTGAGAAATGGACAAAATAGAATTAGTAAACACCCCAGCTATTTTAGGAATGACACATTACATTTCAGACCAAACAAACACCAGGTAGTATTTTAACATTGAGAAAACAGAATCTTAGATTAATTATAACTAAAAACAGGTATGCATGGAAAGCTAGAAGTAAACCAAGCATTAAAGCATTAACAAACAAAAAATTATGGAAGAACTGAAGGGAAAGCAGTACTAGGCAGGACCAAAATACTGTCAAGTAGAATGAAAAATTTCAGCCACAGTTAGAGCGTACAGGAAAACAAACAATACTAACCATCTGTTACTGTCATGGAAACTTGAAGTGGCACATTACGAGCCTGTGGTCTGAAACTAATTAGATGTGGCCCTGCTCCAAGTAGTTCAACCAGGAAAAAAAAGGTAAATGAAAAGTTTCAATGAATTAACTGCAAATTAATGAATAAAAACCAGACCGGTAGTCGAACCAGTGAGACCTTCAGTCACCAGTTTAACCAGTCCAACTGGTTCAAACACCCAGTCCATAGTCACTCAAAATTAAGTGCCAAGAAAATATAAAAAAAATAAAATAAAATAAAAATAAAATTAGGAAGATTCAGAAAATTAAAAAAAAATACAATCCTTTAATAAAGACTTAAGAGTCTTTGCTTCAAAAAAGGGAAGAAAATAAGAAAAATAAATAAATAAAAACTCCAGTAACCCTTGACTTCCTGCCCGAACGACATTTTTTTCATCATCCCTCTGATTCAAATCTTTCCACCTCAAAGTTTGGAGATGGAACGAAGAAGGCAGGAGCTGCCAGTTAAAGACAGAAGGTTCGAGAACGAGAGGAACAAATTAAGAACATGCAACAATTGAATATTGAAGTTGGGTGTAGCAAGCTCCATCACTTTTAAACATCACAAGAAAAAGCAAGCAACAAGGCGGCAATAGTCTCTTGAAAACAAACCAAAATAAAAGAATGAACAAGTAAAAGAGAATCTGAGAAAGTAAAAAAGATGCACTAAGCTTGAAACAAAATGAGTTTGGCATTGGAATATGTTGATTTTTAACATGATTGAATTGCATTTTATGACTCCAATTTAATTATGATTGAAAAAGTCCAGAAAATGATGATTTCTTAAATTCCGATTTAAATGATTTTTGCTAGTTTAACATTTTTCAATGGTTTCCAGTTTCCCATTTATCCTGTTTAACATAGGTAATTGCACCGGACACCCTACCATTCCCCGATTCAACCGGTTGAACAGGCCGGTCCAGTCCAATTTTTTTATTCATTGCTGCAAACCTAACTTCAGCAAGCAAATGTAGCTAATTGCTAACCTTCATGAACATTCAGGTAAGACCCAATTCCATGACCGGTACCATGTCGATAATCAAGACCATACCTCCATAAAGGAATTCTAGCCAGAATATCAAGAGCATGACCTATAAAAAGCAATCAATCAAAATAAATTTTGAAGTTTAGACAAATTCTACATGACTTCAAACAAACATGCTCAAATAAATACGAAAAAATTAAACAGATAAATAGAGAATTTTAAATACCATTTGTCCCATTAGGGAATCGAGCATTGCCCAGAGCAATGTGGCCCTTGAGAACCTGCATGGAATGAAGGAACTTCTTCAAGGTTTGAGTTTGGGAAGAATAGGTCCCCCCCCAAAAAAAAGTTCAGGAAGAATAGAATATGAAATCTTTGTAGAGCTAAGGAAAGAAGAGAAGTGGGAATGAAGCATCTTAACCTATCTTTATAAAAAGCAGTATCAAAATAAACAAATAACTAGTCTGAGTCATAAATTTTGACTTCGTATATGTTGAACACTCTTCAACTTGCTTAATGCAAATACAAATTGGGTCGACTTGTATAAAACAATTACAATTCATAACTCATTGGGCTGATCACCACAAACAATATATGTTGCTCGATTCTTACAAAAATATTAATTTAAATCTGAATTCGTATTGTCAACTATAGATGAGATATCCAAATGGGTTCTATGGTTCCTATCAAATGTCACAATCATTCATGTGACAAATCATTACCCAGGAAAAACAACAAAAATGCCTAAAGATGGATATCCGGCTTGTATTATCAAGCCACCAAGGACTTCGGAAAAGACAAGAACATCAAAATTACAATTCTATATTGTGTGACAAAAGAAAGGCGAACATAAGTAACTAATAAATCAAATGTCCAAAAAAGAATGCAACAGAAGCCACTTACTGCAGTATAGCAAGCCTTCTCATGTGCTGAAGGCTTTCCAAAGTGAACCGTCCGAGTTATATCAGTTGTTCCATCTAGATACTTCAATGATGCCATCCAAGTTATCAGTTATGGGATTAAGAATCAGAACTAAGAATCTATAATAAAAAATCATTCGCATTTTATTGATAGCTTTGGTTTATGGATATAAGCGAAAATATTAGCATTTGGTAGCAAACCTGTGCGCCTGAATCAAAAAGATATATGCTATCTGGATCAAGCTCAGCACATGTTTCTGCCTCAGGTGAGTAATGGATGATGGCCGCATTTGGACCAACCGAAGAAATAGTAGAGAAACTTAGGCCTCTAAAGTGCTGCAATTAATAAAATGGAAATGATATGGTGACATGAACAAATACATATTCATGCACAACATTTTGGCAACAACCAGAACCAGTAACATAGAAACAGTTTTCTGACACGAACAAGTACATATGCATGCACAACATTTGAGCAACACCTGAAACTGAGATGCTCACTTCACACTAATGCTTATAAGATGTGACGCTTAGGAAATTCTGAACCTTCACATGCTATGATGCCCAAGTTTAGAAAAACAAAGTAATTGCAGGTTGATGACGGACATAAAACAACACAATTAGTCACTACTAATAAAAGAATTTCTCACTTGAAATTTTATTAATATTGTTATATCAAAAAGACATTTTTTACTAATTTTCCTTATTGCCACAAAAAACTTTCTCAAAAGTATTGTTACCTCTTTTGATGCACGAAATCCCTCCAACTTATCACTAACCGTCACCTCTGTCAGTTTCATAGTCTCCCTGCATGGTTCATTCCAATAGCATGAAAAGAAAACTAAGAGTTGGTCCACCAAAAGCTCAAAAATTTTTGTGAAGAGGGGGGACAGCCTGTTTGGTTTCAGGCTCAAAAATAGCAAATGAGCAGGAGCGAAAGAAAGATAAGATATCAACTTGCAATTTAATAACTTACGGTCTTCTTTTGCTTGTCCCCTCCCCCTCCAAGAAGTAACCGGAAGCCCCATAAATCTCTTGCATCTGTGCATTTGAACGGGCAAAGCATTATTTCCAGCCTAACAACAGCCTAAAATCTTGCTGTTTATGTTGAAAAATATTTTACTTTGAAAGGAGGATCAAATCTAAACAGATGAGGATAGAACCTTAAACAATCAGAAAGAACATTTATCAATTTTCAAGAGAATACAAATACATAAAGGTCACAGTCCTATACCTGTTTATCCAACCAGACAAGATACTGCACAACAGCTGCACCATCCCGAATATGTGCATTTCTTAATCCATCCAACTCAACCGGATTCTAAAAGTACAAAATTTGTTGATAAGGATAAATTATTTTAAGATGAAAAGTGATCAAATACAATGTCCCTTTAAATATTAAAGATCCTGTCATGTTTTTTCAAACAAGTAAAATCTCTTCTCCTTTTCCTTCCTTGGGGAGGTGGCATACAATGTTCTTGTGGATTAGTGCGTGTGTATAGTTACAAGTAAACATCCAAAACCTAAGATGTTCTAAGTTCTAACTTCTAAAAAAATTATTTTCAGATTATCAGAACAGATATCGTATAAATTTATCTTATGCACTTCTAAAGTAAGATTCAACCAGATAGGAAGTGCATTGACAACCTTTAAGGCTTTCGCAAGGGCCAAAGGTGACTGCTGCAGGAGCACCTTATTAGCATCTAGTTTTGAAAACAAAGCATAGCTGCATGAAGCAGGATCAACCCATACAAGATCATTATAGTTTTCTTCTGCTTCACATGTTTCACTTTCACAAACACCATTTCCATCAGAATTTACTCCTGTATCCTGTCCAAGCTGATTAGACGCTAACAATGCAACGTCTGAACTCACTGCACCATACTCTCGAACTTCAATTCCATTCTCTTGCATGGAAGAGCTCACCTGCATTAACGTACATGTGATCAATAAACCTAACCGTCTAGCCCATAGAGCTTACACCTTCATTCAAGGTGTAATAAC